CTAGGGATCCGAAGCCTCTGTTTGTGTGTGTGTGTGTGTGTGTGTGTGTGTGTGTGTGTGTGTGTATTCTGAAACTGGAAGATAACTGGGAATGCCTCCCCCAGCCTGGGGCTCTGCCATATAAGGCAATCCAGGACCTGGGACCACTCTGCAGGGGGCCAATATCAGTGGCAGAGCTCTGGATCAAGGGTGACATTTCTAACGTTCTTATGAAATCTGCAAATGCCTTTGAAGGTACGTAACCATAGAATTTCAGAGCTGGAGGGTCTCCGAGAAGTGTAATCCCTTCAAGTAGAGTTAGGAACATTGAGTCTCAGGAAAGGTAGATTGTATGAGGGATCATTTCCCCCCCAACTATCTCTTCCTATCCTTAAAAAGAAAGCCCCTTGAACTTTATCAGGAGGAGGAAGCAGGTCCCAACCTAGTAAAATATGCCTCCCCCATCATCATATCAGACAAGCTTTTCTGAGCGACCAATCAGCTTTGCAAAAAAAAAAAAAGGCTCTCCTGTTCAAAGCAATTCCAGGATCTTAAAAAGCAGGAAGGGACACCAGAGATCAACTAGTCGAACTTTCTGCCCAAACCAGAAACTCCTTCTGGCAACGACTCCCAGATCTCTATCTCTACCCAAGTGTTTTCTCAGACTCCAGACTCCTTCTACCATTTATCTGCTCTGGGAGGTCTCACTGTCTCCAAGGCCCAGGGGTTTACTCTCTACCTGCAAACTGCCTCCTCCCCAGCAAATGTAAGTTCCATCCTTCAAGTTCTTCTTCTTTCACAACCCACATCCAACCTATCAGGAAAGCCTGTTTGTTGGATCCCCACTTCAAGATATGTTCCCAAATGTGACTACTAATTTCTTTACTGCTAGGACTCTAGTCCAAGCCCCACCACCTGTTCCAGAATTGGCCTCCTACTGGGTCTCCTTGCTTCCAACTGTGAGCCTCCCACTCTGTCCCCAACAAGTTAGCTAGGGCAGATTTAAAAAAAAAAAATCTAAGATCACATGCTTTGATCAAAATTTACCAGTGGCTCCCCATTTCACTCAGAATAAAAGCCATAGTTCTATAATGGCTCACAAAAACCCACACAATCTATTTTCCCCAACCCAGTTACCTCTCCTGACTCCATCTCCTGCTCCTCACTCATTTACCCTGTTGCAGTCTCACTGGTTGTTCTAGAACTTGCCTAACCTGCTCCTGCCTTAAGACCTTCACAATGGCTGTTCCTCTACCTGGCACACTGTTCCCCCAAGAGAGCCACCTGGCCAGAAATTTTATTCCCTGTCCCCTTCATCCTTGTGCCCCACCCTATTCTTTAGTATTTTTCCCAACACTTAGGACCTTTTAATTTACTATTTAATTTACTTCAGTTTTGTTTTTTCTTGTCTCGTATTGTAGCACTGGGGATTGAGCTCCGGGCTTCATGGATGATAGGCAAGCACTATACCAGTAAGCTTTTTATTTTTTAATCTCAGCCCACTTTATTTTTTATTTAAAAAAAATTTTTTTTAGTTGTCCCCACCTTTATTTTGTTTATTTATATGTGGTGCTGAGAATCGAACCCAGTGCCTCCTCACACATGCTAGGCAAGCGCTCTACCACCGAGTTACAGCCCAGACCCTTATTTTTCATTTTGAGAAAGAGTCTCACTATGTTGCCCAAACTGGTCTCAACTTGCCATCCTCCTGCCTCAGCCTCCTGGGTAGCTGGGATTACAGGCGTGCACTACCACTTTATTTCTTTAGTATATTATTTATTTATTGGGTACCAGGGATTGAACTCAGGGGCACTAGACTACTGAGCCACATTCCCAGCCCTATTTTGTATTTTATTAGAGACAGGGTCTCACTCAGTTACTTAGTGCCTCCCTAAATTGCTGAGGCTAGCTTTGAACTCCAGATCCTCCTGCCTCAGCCTCCTGAGCTGGGATGACAGGCGTGCGCCCCTGGGGCTCAGCTTCTTTAGTATACTTATTGTTTTGTTTATTTTCTTCCACTGGAAAGGAGGCCCAGTGAAAGTAGAGATTTTTGTCAGTTTTGTTCCCAAACATATCTCTAGAGTTTGGATACTATGCTGCAAGCCCTCAGCAAATAAATTGTTAGGGAATGAACGAATGAACACTGTATGTAGAGGATCGCTTATCAAGCAGAATCCTGAGTCCCAGAGGCCTCTGCATTGGTTTTGCTCCAAGCCAGGGCCTGTACTCTTTTCCAGAAATCCACCCTGTCATCTATGTTCTGGTTCCCACCTTCCACCCACTTTTGCTTTAGAAACCCAGCGGGCTGGACGGGGCAGAGGGAAAAGTCAAGGGGCCATCTTGATAGTGGGGACATAACTAGCATGTCACCAGAGTTCACTCCTTCCACCGGGAGAAGCCTGGACACTCCCTAGTGAGGGGGTTTCCACTCAAGGACAGCTTGGTCTTGCCTCTGGAAAGGGCTGAGAACAGGGAGAGTTCAGAGGGCCTCTCCTATCTCCCAAAGTTGCCCTCCCCCGTGGTTGTCTGGGTTTTTCACATTCCCGAAGCGCTGATGTGGCACTAAATATTCCCGCAGTCCGGGCCTTCTCCCCCGGGGGCCCAGCGTCATTGTGAGCTGAGCCTGCTTTCTGGAATGTTTTTGGTATGAAGTATCCTGGCAGGTGAGGGAAAGGGCCTTGCAGATGGGACCCAGGCCCTCAAATCTAGGCCTCTTTGGAGTGGAGATCAGAGAGATACTCCTTTCCCACCCAGATTCTCCCTAACCAGCAGGCTTCTCCCACAGGTACCCCACTCATCCCACCCACCCTGCAGCCCTGCCCTGGCTTCCAGGAGGTAAGCAAACAGACCAAGATCTTGGGACCAAACACCTTTGTCTGGCCTCTCTATCCCTCAGACTCCCAATCTCCCCCAGGACCTGCTGAGACAGTGCTGATGGAAAGGGTTTTTCAGGGCTGTGACCTCTCCATCCCCTTCATCCCCAAACATGGTTTCCTACCAGGTATAGGCCCTCCCTGCTCTGGTGACCTCTTTTCTTCCTGACCTCCCTCTTTAGCTTCTCCCTGGCGCCGCCCTTTCCTAGCTCCTTCTCTGGGCTTGTGGAGACTAGGGGAGGGCGTTTCCAATAGAGGGAATTGCTACTTTCCTTATTCCTGGCAAAGAGCTTGGCATCTAATAGATGCTCAATACATATTTTTCCATTCACTACTTTTACTCAATTCTACAAATCCAGTCCTGTTCTGATGAGCCTCTCTACCCACAGAGACTTGGCATCTCACAGATCTGAGCTTGAGATCTGGTTTTCCCACTTGCTAGCTAGGCAAGTTATTGAATGCTTTTAAGTCTCCATTTCTTCCGTAAACAGAGAATGATAAAAATTGTAGCACATCGAGAAGACTGAAACAAGGCTACATGTACATGAAATGAGGCCACACAGATAATATGCCTGATATGTAAGCATTTAATATACGGTAGCCCCTATTATCTCCCAAAATGCAATTCTTCTTTCCCTCAACTGAACTCTACTTCAGCATAATCTGGACAGTTCCTCACTGAGTTTAACTTATTGTGCTGCCTTGCCCTCCAGTCTGCAACCTCCTCCAGGCTGAGGTCTTTAATTGTTGCACTAGCGAGGCAGCAGGCACCTGTCTTCCACAGAGCTTGGTGCCCAGCGTAGCTTGAGTGGAGTAAATAAACGCACACTGTAACACCACCGCAGAACGCTGTGCCTCTTCAGGGTAAAGATCCACCCCTGTATTTTTCCAGTGTTTACCCAGAGCCTAGCCCAGAGTTCCAGTACTCAGTAGGATGGACCTCTAGAGATTTCACAGCTAAATAGCCCAGCCATCACCCAAGCAATTTCTGTTTGTGTCTTGACCCCATCCATCCTTGCCTGCTCTCTCTTCCCCAGATTCAGTGACTTTCCCAGCCTTCCAGGTACAGAGAATGAAGCTCGGAGACTCTGCACCAGACAGCAGCTCCTGCCAGGGACAGGTGGGAGTGGACCCGGGAGCTGGAGCTGGCCAGAACTGGGGATATTTGGGGGCTGTGAATACCCAAGCAGGTCAGGGAAGGGGGCCGGCTTAGAGCCAGAGCCAGCCAGCAGCCAGCCTGCCCTTTGTCCTCATCCTCCCTTTCATCCCCAGTTCTTAGAGCCCGGGAGTTTCTCAATGGAGCAGGCGTGCAGGGAATGCTCTGCAGGGGGTAGGGGGGGCTGGCCTGTGGGGGGTGGACATTCCAGGCATTCTTTAGGGGCGAGGGAGGAGAAGCTGCCCTGCACTGGAGGAAAGGGGATTTCTTTGGAAGGAGAGAAAATAAGAGAGTGTGGTGGTGTCTTGAAGCAGCAGGGGCCAGGGTGTCAAGCAGATGGGAGAGGGGCGGGAGAAGGCGGAGAGAGGGTGGGGGTGGGGCTGGGTAATCTGCAGACCAGTTCTTCCTTTAGAACTGCAGGTGGGAAGAGCACTCTGGGAGTTCCAGCCTAGGGCTTTCCCACTTTGTTAATAGAGTGGGGCCAGAGCTGCTGGTGCAGAAGTACCGGAGATTTGGGAAGCTTAAAGCCTGGGAGTTATTTATTTTGTTTTTTGGGTTTTTTTTTTTTTTTTTTGTACCAGAGATTGAACTCAGGGGCACTGGACCACAGAGCCACATCCCCAGCCCTATTTTGTATTTTATTTAGAGACAGGGTCTCACTGAGTTGCTTAGCGCCTTGCTTTTGCTGAGGCTGGCTTTGAACTCTTGATCCTCCTGCCTCAGCCTCCTGAGCTGCTGGGATTATAGGCATGTGTGTCACCACACCCAGCTATTCTGTTTATTATTATCATTATTTTGTGGTGCTGAGGATCTTGTGTGCATGCTAAGGCAAGTACTGGGACACTGAGTCACACCCCCAGCCCTTTGGTTCTATTTGGATCAAGCAGTTTCTCTATGTTCCACCCCTCGCAACCCAGGGAGTATTTGTATTAAGAGAAGGCTGGGAGACCTGTTCCTCACCCCCATGTCCCCAGAAAGAACAACAGGGGCTGTTTTCCATTCATCATCTTGGTTTTAATGGAGTGTTTTTTTCTGGCCACAGAGGAGGGGAGACAGCATGGGGTGTGGAGTGAAGGGACTCATCTCCAGACAGTGCAAGCAACAGAACATGTGGGTGTATCAAAGGACCCCCTCCCCTGATCTGTGGGGCATCATTGCAAACACACCTCTCAGTACCGGAAGTTTAGATGGCATGATGGATTTCCCCAGAACATGGCATTCACATTATTGTAAAAAGCAAAATTCACTTAAAAATACAGAGTTGAGAACAGAAAAATAAATAAGGACATTCTAGGTCCCAAAAGTCCAGAGAAACAGAGGCATCCATAACCTAGACTTCCAGAGCAGCTTGGAGGCAGAAGTTCCAGTCTGTGAGGTCTCAGGTGGGGTCCAGAGGAGTCTGGGCCCCTTGAGATGAAGTTAAGCAGTGGCCTGAGCCTTTTCAAGTCTTTTAAGATTCATAGCAGCGACTCTGGGAGGCTCAGGCCAGGTTTGGAGGATGGAAAAGGGAAGAGAACCTTTGAGGAACCATTTAGGAAACAGAGGCTGTGTTCTCTTACTCCTAGATAAATAAGGGAGGGTTACTCCAGATCACTCCCAGGATGCCCCGGATACTTTAGAGGTACCACATTCTAGCCCCAGAGGTCGATGGGGATTCAAATTTGTGTGAGGATGGTCCATCCCCACCTTGACAGGTGAAAGGCACCACACCTCAAGCTTCCTCATGGCAACGAAGAGGACAGAAGCTGTTGAAGGACTCTTTCCAGGTCTCTGCAGCCCCATCATGGGCACAAGATGCAGGTAACCCAGACTCGGACTCAGTCCTTCCCTCTCTGCTTCTCTGCTCTTCCCCGGCTATTATGTGCCCACTTCTCCCATCTAGCCCTCCCAACCACCTCAGTCTTCTGAGCTGGGGTGCTGGCCCTGGGAGGCAGGGAGAAGGCGCTCCCTGCTCAGGGTGCAGCCAGCTGTATCTTAGCGCCTGCCCGGGCTGGGGCAATGCACACTGCCCCTCAGCTGAGCTTTGAGCAGACCCCCAGTGACTGTGGGTAGGTCTGTGTCACCTCCTGGCAGTCTGACAGGGAAAAGCAGCTATCGCCCAAGGAGTCCTGCCGCCAGCGCCTCAGGCAGCTGCCAGGCCCCTCTGAGCGAGACTCAAGTCCCATGAGGTTGTCCACAGACACACATCCCCGCAACGGGGGCTCGGGGAGTCGATCAGGCAGGTCTAGTTGGTCAAAAGACTCAGAGGACAGGATGCTGTCTTCACTCACAGCACCCAAGGGGCGGCTGGCCCGGGCTGGCGGTGGAGGGGCGGCCAGTTCATCCAGAGAGCCAAAGGCAGTGGGGGGCTTAAGTTCCGAGGCCATGCGGGAGAACTTGCCGTTGAGTTTGAGGATGCCCTTGCGATGGAGGAGCAGCCCTGAGGCTTCAGAGGACTTCTGCTCCACGGGGTCCCCACTCATGAACACATCACCTGCATCCAAGAGCTCTCCAGACTCACTGGGCTCTGGGGAGGAGTAGTAGCCAGACTCACGCTGCCGAGGCTTCTTGAGGATGCCCCTCCTGGGCAGTAGGGGTGCCGCGTGCCCTGGGCCATCCGCCACTGAGCTGAACTCCTGAGGGTCCTCCCTGGCCCCCTCTGAGGCCGACGCCTTCTTCTTGAGAATGCCCTTGGGCAGCTTGAGGTTGCTCTTGCCAGGGCGAGGGGAAGTGTCATCGGCAGGGTCCCCCTGGAGAGACTGGGCCATGTCATTCTCCTTGCGGGACTTCTTGAGTGAATGCTGGCGCTCCAGGTTTGGTGTGGCACTGCCACCAGGCGCGTGCTGCTTGAAGAAGCTGCACACCTTGGCCCCATTCTCCAGGAAGGGGCGGGAGGATCGGCGGAGCCAGTCAGCCATGGAGGCCCGGGCGGAGTCACTGCTTGTGTGCCCACCTTCACGCAGTGCCTCCTGCTCCCCCACACGGGTGGCATAGCCCCAGTTGACCCACCAGTGACTGGCCACATCCTCCAGGGTAGCTCGGCGGAGAGGGTTCACCATTAACAGCCACCTGATCAGGCCGCAGGCATCTGGGGGACAAAAGACAGAGGTTTGGGTTTAGCAGCTGAGATAGCCACCCCACAGCCCCCCTCTGCTTGCCCCCATTGGTGCTCAGACATAGCTTATACCCAGGCCAGATCCGCACATTCTCACCGAGGACCCCATACACAACCTAGGCCATGATGCTCCCTAGGCCAGCTTCCCCGGATGGGTTCTGCCTGTTGCCCCTCCCCTATGACCCCTCACCAGCCCTTGTTTGTATTAGTGTGTCTTTTTCTTCTTTCCTCTGAAATTCAACTGTCTGAGCTTAAGGACTGTGTTCAAGGGTAAGCTAGGGCTCTCAGATACTTCTTCCTGCCTCTACACCCTATGCACAAGGACAGATTTCTGAAGATGAGGACAAAAGCAACAAGAAATGAGACAACTGTAGTAAAGAGGATTGAAGTTGGACCTGAGGAAGGACTTCCCAAGTTATGATCAATCATTCGACAAGGAAGGAAAAACTATCCCTTCCTTCCTCAGAGGCCTTAGACACTGCAGAGAGACAACACAGGTCACCAAAATCTACCATGGGTCATGATGGATGTTTGGCCTCTTTACATCAGTGCCGATGTTTAATCCCTGCATTAGGACTGGGTGATGCACACCTGAGCCTGCGTTAGAACACCTATGGCTCTCACTCACCAGACGGCTGAGGCGGCTCCCGATAGGCCCCGTTGCTGATCTGCTTCACCAGCGTCTTGTGATCCTGCCCATCAAAGGGCATGGTGCCATGCACCAGGATATAGAGCAGGACACCCAGGGACCAGCTGTCCACCTGAGAGAAGGGGGAATCAGCAAGGATGTAGGCATGCCACTGGCCAGAGGACCATAAGCCTCACTCTCAGTACCAGAGAGGAAAAGGGTACATGCTAGAGAACTTGGATGACCTGAGGATGACCTCTTAGACCTGGGGGGATACTGAAGAAGGGGTTGAGGCTCATAGGGAGAGTGGTGACACCACTGTTGGGAGCAGTATTCAGACCATCCCTTCTGGGTCAGGATGGGGCACCAGGTCACTCCAGGGAGGCTGGATTGGGTGCCAGAAGGTAACAAAATAACAGAAACGAGGAAGGTGAGGGGGCACAGAAATAGAACACTAGCCCATCTATCCCACAGGATCGAAAGTCAGTGTAAATGACAGGAGGGTGGGCGGAGGAGGCATCACTTACCTCTGGGCCCATGTAGGGCTTCCCGTTGACGATCTCAGGCGAGGCATAAAGGGGGCTCCCACAGAATGTCTGCAGGAACTTGCCTTGGTGATAGAGGTTGGACAGGCCAAAGTCAGCGATCTGCAAGGTTAGGTCAAACATTGGACATGGGTCATGCCAAGGCCTATGTTGCTCTGCAGCTCTCAGCTGGCATCTGTCCAGGCCCTGAGAAAACCCGGGCCACAGCAGAAGGAAAGGGTCCCTTGATTCTTGCCTCACATTGGGCACAGTCAACACAGCTCAGGCCCTGAGCATCTGTGTCCATAAAGAGCACCTAGGCAGAGGTATGTGGGGCTCCAGGACACTCAGTGTTCCCCAGGTGGCTTTGCTTGGGCTGTGTTCCAGCCAGGGATGCCCTCTTCTGCCTGGGCATCCTCCTGATTCTGGACCCCTCTCTGGGGAAGGTTTCCGTGGCCTCGGATCCTCCCCTAGGAAGCCCCACAGTTTCCAATGGGCTCCCTGCAAACCTTGTTCATCCGTTCTCCCACCAAGTCAGATGGAAGACCCCCATGCTGATCTCCTTATCTCTACCTGTGGCTCCTAGTACAAGTGAGACCCTCGTGATGCTCAATGAGCACTTACTGACCATGAGGAGGGTCAGCCAGATGGAGAGGGAGGCCTAGCTTCTTACGTCATTGCAGAGCCCTCCGAGGCAAGCAAGGCCCCTTACCCATTAATCATGGAAGACCTGAGTTGCTCTTCCCATCAAGGGCTGGCCTCTCTGCCCATACCTGGGCAGGAATCTGAGGTCAGCTCAAGATAACTAGAGGTCAATGGTAAGAGTAGAGCAAAGATCAGGGCTGTGGTATTATTCCAGGAGAAAGAATCTTCTTGTAAGACTTCCTGAGCCAACCAACCCCGAGGCTGGAGAGGACCCAAACTCATCCTCTCACTCTCTAGAAACCCTCTCCCAGATAACATCAGCTAGGGGCAGAGGTCAATGCCCTGCTGTTCCTAACTCTTCACCCCATCAGAGGGTCATGTGTGCCCAGGGTGGAGAGGGGCTGTTTATGAAACCCTGGCTCCTTTGTTTATGGTTTTATTGGCCTCTTATCAAACAGTTACCAGGTGAAGCCCATAACGAGGCATATTATTGGTACAGATAGGAAAGTATGTGCCTGTCCAGATTATGTGAATTTACTGCCTCTGGCTTCCCTCCCTCTGGTCAGCATCAAAGAAAGCCCCACCTTCTCCAGGAATTGGCTGGTTAAGGGGAATGGACTCAGCACCAGGGCACTTCAGGGCACAGGTCAGGAATTCCTGGAGGAGACTAAGCCCTGGGTCAGGAAGTACTGCAGAGGTCACTCTCCTGGAGCCTATAGGGCTGGTCTCCCTGCCTCAGTCTCCCCTTTCCAGTCCTGAGGTCTGAGTTTATCCTATCAATATGAACTTCTCCTGACTCACCTAAATTTAACTACTTTGGCATAGAGATCTAGCAGCTGCTGGAAACAGGAAGTTGGCACTGAGGTGCTTGGTTGACGGAGAAAGGTGCCAAAGAGCTAGCTAATTGCAGGTTGAATTGTGTGGAAACAAGAAGTGAGGCTCACCTTGATATTTCCATTGGCATCTAACAGAATATTCTCCAGCTTGAGATCCCGGTGGACGATCCCATTCTGAAGGAGGAAGGAGCTGAGTTAGGGCAAGGTCACCAAGGAAGGGAAAGGGACAGGGGCCTAATCTGGAATGCACAGTAAACACAAAGGAAGCCAAGTATGGGGTAGGCGGGGTGCTCCTTTTGATTGCCATATGGTACAAGATATCACAGACCCTTCCCTCCATCCCTGACCAAGAGGACTCAAAGCCAGATACCAACATTCCCTCATCTGAGAGTCCAGAGTCCCTGCTGTTAAACCCATGTGATCCTGGACGTGCCATGGAAATCTCTCTGGTCCGTTCAGATCCAGGGACCACCCCTTTGGGGCATGGTCAGGGCAGGTGGCGCTCACCTGGTGGCAGTAGTGCACGGCAGACACAATCTGCCGGAAGAAATGCCGGGCGTCCCGCTCATTCAGCCGCTGCCGCTCACTAATGTAGTCATACAGGTCACCTCGGCTGGCGTATTCCATGACAATCACGATCTTACTGCTATTCTCAAACACTGGGCAGAGCAAGGTGGAGATGTCAGGCCCTCCCAGAGTGCACTGCGTCCCACCAGGGGCCACAATCCCTCCCTGGCCCTGAACCAGATGGGGCCTTCTTTTAGGGTATCTACTGATGGGGGCCCAGGGCTGCAGGCAAAGGCAGCGAAAGGCCTTTGAAGCACTCAGCATCTTCCTGGTACAGCAAGTGAAGAAGGGAAAGGGGCTTACCCTAAATTCAGGCTTTTGAGGATTCTGAAAAGCCCCCCAGGAAGGCAGAACCCTAGCTGGATGAGAATGAAGGGCCAAGTTTATTGGCTCCAAATCTGATATTTTCTACCTTGTGAGTTTGGTCAAAGCTCTTCTGGATACTTCAATAAGAATGCAGTTGGGGGCTGGGGATGTGGCTCAAGCGGTAGCGCGCTCGCCTGGCATGCGTGCTGCCCGGGTTCAATCCTCAGCACCACATACAAACAAAGATGTTGTGTCCACCGAAAACTAAAAAATAAATATTAAAAAATTCTCTCTCTCTTCTCTCTCTCTCTCTCTCTTAAAAAAAAAAAAGAATGCAGTTGGATGGATTATCTCAGACAAGTCAACCAACCATTGTTCCTCAGTTTCCTCATATGAAAAGTGGGATAATAATGGTGATCTCACAGGACCAAGAAACATAAACATCACTGACTCTCCAAGTCTGACTGAGCCGGCTGGCAGAGAGTCTAACACCAAAGCATGTACTACAGAAATGGTACCTACTCTTATTATATTTATACTCAGTGTCCTCATGCATAATTTTGTTATTTTGTTTTTGGGTTGTTGTTTTGTTTTGTTTGTTTAATGTGGTGCTGGGGATTGAACCCAGGGCCTCATGCCTACAGGCACTCTACCACTGAGCCACAACCCCAGCTCTCCTCATGCCTAATTTTAATTTTTAAATTTTATTTTATTTTATTTTTACAGTGATGGGGACTGAAACCAGGACCCTGTGCATGCAGGGTAAGTGCTCTACCACAGGGTTATATCACCAGCCCCTCAAGCATAAATTTGAAAAATAATGCCAATAACAATGCCACGTTGAGGATCAGAAGAGGGATGAAAGTATATGAAACTATACAATATGGTGGAGAATGAAGACATTCATCCCTCCCACCACCTTTGACTTCTCATCCAGAATATTAAGGCCAGGCTTTCATGCATAATGCCTCATACAGAGAAGCAATCAATAAATATGTGGTAATTAATTGACTGGCTGGCCTCCTGGCAGTCAGCCTACCCCAGCTGGCCCATCTCCATGTATATATAGCAGGAATCATCTTGCCATCAATTGGGCCTTGTCCTGACATCTTTTTTTTTTTTTTTTTTTTAAAGACAGGTGACTAAACCCTGAGGTTCTCTATTTCTGAGCCATATACTCGGTCTTTTTCATTTTTTATTTTGAGACAGGGTCTTGCTAGGTTGCTGAGCCTCAAGCTTGAGATCCTCCTGCCTGATCCTCCTGAGTAGCTGGATTTCACACAGGCACCACCACACATGGTTGACATTGCATCTTTGTGTCAAATGGGTCTTATGAGTTTGGCTTGCGTGGCCAGCCCCAGAACTATTATTGCTGTCTAGCCTCTGAGAAGGAGCTGAGGGACGAGGCTTCTCCTAAGGAGTCCCAGCTCCCAGGCCACTGGATACAAGGCCAGGAAGACTATGCTTTTTTCCAGGGGAACATGGTGGCTCAGCTTCCTGGAAGGTACCTGGCTGGGACTGTACTCCTGGGGTTTTCCTTATCTTGGCAGGTGTAAGCTTTGTGCCATGAAATCAGAGATCAAGAGCCAGCCAGGAGCTGGGCATGGTGGTGTGCGCCTGTCATCCCAGCAGCTCGGGAGGCTGAGGCAGGAGGATCATGAGTTCCAAGCCAGCCTCAGCAACTTAGTGAGGCCCTAGGCAACTTAGCAAGATCCTACCTCGAAATACAAATTAAAAAGGTCTGGGGATGTGGCTCAGTGGTTAAATGCCTCTGGGTTCAACTCCTGGTACCAAAAAAAAAAAAAATATATAATATATATATATATATATATGTCAGAGCACATTTTGGAGAGTAGCTAGGTTAGAGGTCAGGTTCCCAAACTGGAGCTTCCTTCCAACCCTGAAGCCTGAAGCCGGGTGGAATGAATCGGAATCTGGAGGAGCCCTTCTGTCACTCAGCAACTGCGATGCCCTTGTGTCTGCTGCATCTGCAGATGCAGGAGAGGCCACACCCTGAGCTTTAGAGCTCAGTTCCCAGACCCAGCTGGAGATATGGATAGTGGGGAGAACACACATGTACGTGTGCTTACACACACACACACACACACACACACACACAGTGCCCAATCACCAAGCTCAGTCTAGCTTAACCAATGCTTTGTAGTCTGCCCACTCTTCCCTTGGGGAAGTACACCAAGATACAATTAGCCCTCTCTACCACTTGCCCGGACTCTTCATGGAACAGGCTCAGGCCCCAGTCCCATGTCTTCCTATGAACCTGAGAATGGAGACTTCTCTATTTTTTCCCACCAGGAATCTTCAGACAGAGGGCGGAACATGGGCTCCCTTTCCTCCCACCTGCTGCTGCTGTTACCCCTGGTTTCCCATCTAACTGATATTATATAAAGGCTCGAAGCAGACAGGCATGTGTGGGAGGGTGCTCCCCCTCTTTCCTCTTTTCTTGGTCACTTTGTTGTCTGGGTCACAGGGAGGAGGGCAGCACTGATGTCAGAGGAGAGGAGGCTGAGAGAGACAAGGAGAGGTAGGAGCCAGCCCCGTGGCAGGGGTGATTCAGCAGCACAGGTCAGACTCTAGGAGGCCTGGCTCTTGAGACACCTGAAGAACAGCACCCACGCTCCTGGACAGGTGCAGGTCTAGGTATGTTTCAGCCTCCCCCGGATTGCTAAGGATCTGGCTGGGCTGGGTAGGTAGTGTTCAAGCAGGGAGAACCTTACAGCAACACCGACAGACCTGCAATTCCTTGAGTACCTCTCAAGAGCAGAGCACTTGCTGACATTATCCAGTTGGATCTTTACACTCTATAATGCAGATGGAATATCCCATCTTATAGGGAGGAACTGAGGCCCAGACACTAGGCGAAATGAATTGCCCTAAATCATACATTTGGGTTTCAAATCCAGCTTTTGCCTGGCTCTAGAGCCCATACCATTTTTACTTCTTTGCATCATAAGTTCTGACTCCTCCTACACACACACACACACACACACACACACTCACACACACCCGACTCCCAGCTCCAAGTGCCCTGCACTATACCTTCATGGATGGCAATGATGTGGGGGTGGTTGAGGGATGACATGATCTCAATCTCCCGGCGTATGTGCATCAGATCTTGCTCATCTTTAATTTTGTCTTTCCGGATTGACTTGATGGCCACCTGGGAACAGTGAAGGCAGGAGATTGAAGAGAAAGGTCCGGCAGGTAGAGGCATCCCTGAGGATGCTCCAGTGGCCCTGGAGGTCTGCCTGCAGCTGTTACACAGGCCTCGGGGTATAGGCAGGGAAGCCACGCCACCCTGGAGCAGGGTAGGTGGCAGAGAGACTGAACGGTACCTTCCCTAGAAAAGGTCCTTATCTGGGTGTGGTGTAAGCAGATGCGGGTCCATGCAGCAGGAAGGAGCATAGATCAATGGTCTCCTTATTCAAGGAAGGTCAAAATCTGCATCTCTATATCTGGTGCTTTATGATTTACAGAGCAAATTCACTACACTGAACTCAGATGGGGACTCTTGCTCACCATTGGATCGTTGATGCCAAGAACTGTGCCTGGCACACAGGAAGCACCGAATAATTATTCATCATATTAGAAAACGAATTGGCCCCCACAACTACCCTGGGAAATAGGTCCAGAAAGCATTGTCCTTCCCACTCACAGGGAAGGAAACTGGAACACAGAGAGGCTAAATGATTTGCTCAAAGTCGAACAGTCACTAACCAGCACAAACTAGGGTAAGACTATTGGCCATCGGACTCCAAGTTAATTCCTGTCTGCCCCAGCACTTTAACTTGCTATAAACAGCAAAAGGTAGAAACAACCCAAATGTCCATCAGTAGATGAATGGATAAACAAAATGTGGTATATATAATGAATACTATTCAGCCATAAAAAGGAATGCAATGAAAACACAAGCTGAACCTTGAGAATATTACACTAAGTAAAATAAGTCAGTCATAGAGGAGAAGTGTATGATTCTACTTCTGCGAGGTGTTTGGAGTAGGCAAACATATAAAGACAAAGTAGAGCAGAGGTTGCCAGGGACATGGGGGTGGAGGGTGGAATGGGGAATTATTATTTAATAGGTACAGAGCTTCCGTTTGGGATGATGAAAATGTTTTAGAGATGGATAGTGATGATGATTTATAATATTGTGAATGTACTTAATATGCCATTGAACCGTACATTTAAAATGGAAAGTGCATGCCTATAATCCCAGCCGCTCAGGAGGCTGCGGTAGAGGATCGCAAGTTGGAGGTCAGCCTCAGAAACTTGGGGAGACTCTAAGAAAATTAGAAAGACCCTGTCTCAAAGTAAAAAATAAAAAAGGGCTGGGGATGTGGCTCAGTGTTTAAGTGTCCCTGGGTTCAGTCCCCAGTATCAAAAAAATAAAATAAATTAAATGGTAAAAAATGGCAAATTTTATATATTTACCACATTAAAACAAAAACAAAAACAAAAAACTATGAAAAAAAGCCTCCAAACACCAGTCTCTTTAGGTAAAGAATGTCCCCTCCCTAGCAACAAGTAAACAAACAACCAGACAAAGTCCTTCAAGACTTCTATCTTGTCCATAAAGGTGAAAATACCATATAGGTATTTTCCCCTGTGGCTGGTGTGTGGTGGTTCAGGAAGGGTGGAGGGAGGTGAGAAGAAATGAGAAAGTTGCCAAGATGCATCTGAGTAGAGCCGGGGAGTCAGTGTCTCCCTCTGCACCATCCCAG